TGGACTTTGTCTGCAGTATTCCCGGAATAGCGAAGCACCTATGTGACGTGTAGTGTATTGCTTCGTTAATCGATCGTCTTGATAACCGTTATTATAACAATCTGAACGGTGTATAATGTCAGAAGACAAAGGGAAGCAGCAACTACATTTTTATTGATAACTAACATGGGCTAGAAGGCAGTGAGCACATTAGCAAATGTAAGCAAGCGAAGGAAAGATGACGCAGAGTGGAGATGGCTGGGAAGCCAACTCGTTATAAGCAAGCATTAATCAACATTTATAGTCAGACTAAAATGAATGACAGACATGTGATAGGTAGGATAAGAAGTGTGCATACACATACGCTCATATAAAAAATAGTCAAGGTCAATAAGGGAATAATTAATATGATCAAAATATGACTCATAACGTTATAGGTGAATTGGCTTGTCCAGAAACTAGAATAAGCTATGTAGGTGTAATATAGTACACGACGTTACACTACTCCCCACACAGCTCCCCCCCCAGAGTGTCCGGAGGAAACACTGTTATGCAAAATAAACAAGGGGGAGGAGGTGTATATGCGTTCACAAATCAAAATTAAAGTATTAGCACATTAATTTGAAAATAACACTGAAATGTCATATGGATAACGTTAATAATATGTAGAGAGAAAAAATTGTACTATATCGAATAAGTTACAGTGTCAATGGAGGGGCGAGTTTATTAAACGAAAATGTCACACTTATGTGAAAATGTACATGAAAATTGTCAAAATGAGGACAGAAATGGAAATGTTAGCATGTGATTATGAGTAAATTAGTAAGCGTACAAAAAATTTAACATGCATTTATGTCGTCACTGTCCGGATGATAAAATAACATGTTTGTATGAGCAATTCGAAATATCGTGAAAATAGAACAACAAATTGTTTATGGGTATGACAGCGGAATAAATCGTGGAAATAAGTAATGTAGAATATAATTAAAATTGGTCTGTAGTGCCAATTGAATATGAGAATGAAGAACAGTGAAATATGATTTTCTGATAAGTCGCAGTAGAGTAAATAGAGTCGCTTAGCGATGAGTGTATTCGAATTTACATAACTGAAGTTTACGTGGGATATGAAGTAATCCAGCCGTAGGAAGATGACTGCATCAACAGGTGGTATTCATTGCTGTACTGCAATTGATTATGATAATAAAATGCGAAATCAGCGTGCGCTAACGCTTGCGTTGAGTTATCGTTAAATATGTATTAGTAGAATGACCAGAGGAACAGGATAGTGACTGCTTAGACGAGATATGCGGAGTCGTATTCCTTTATGGTCATGCAGCCTAGCGTGGTTTGTGTAGTTAGAGGGATATGCGCTCAACCTCATTTGTTACGAAACCGTTTTAAGGCATGATAAAAATACCAATACATATGATTGTCGATGACAGCGAGTGAGACTGACTTGAATGTGACGAACAAGAGTGTATCTTTGAGAGACTAGCTCTAAACTCTATGTTCTGGTGTACAGTACAATGGAAATAAAATATTAATTGCAGTAATCGAATTGTGATTATCGGTGATGGATGATGCAGCATTCAGATATACATGTGAATGAATAAATAATATGAACATAATCATTACTAATCGGCTGGTAATGCGGCGTCAAATACTTGGTTTATGTATAGACATTAAAGTAGGGATCATCGTGAAACCAAAATTGCTGAAGCTCAGTTAAGGTTGTCGCGTAAAAAGTAGAAAACGACGATTGCTGAGTACCGATGAGATGAATGAACATCAGTTGTCTATCGAGAACATAAGTTCCTACTACCGGGAGTATGACTCCAAACTTATGTCTATGATAGAGTGTAATATTAAGCCGAAAATGACATTAAAAAAATTGGAACGAACTCACTCGAATCAGGAAAAATTTTCGTCATTGGATAATAAAAATAATCCAGTGAGTTTCGAATATCATAACGTGTAATGTCCATATCATTATAATTTGTTCGATTAGTGATATGACTGCGTAAATGTCATAGTTTAATGTCAATACGAACAAAAATAATAATTCCACATTAGATGATTATATGACATTATTGTAATAATGAGCATATGATGATTATTTGAATCATAACAGAATATGTCGTCGACGGTTCCATCTTTGGTTTGTGTTCGCTCGTTGCGGTCGCCAATTCTGTTGCGTGTTCCAAATACAGCTAACCAATATGTTGAGTGTTCGTTCGGCGAGGCATCCAATTTTGTTACGTGTTCCATGTAGGGCTAACCAATATGTAGCCGTACGTTGAGGTTGCCAACTTTGCTTCGCGTTCGTAATTCGGGATCGCCAATAGTGTTGCGTGTTCGTACGTCGGGATTACCAATATGTAGTGTAGTGCTTCGTTAATCGATCGTCTTGATAACCGTTATTATAACAATCTGAACGGTGTATAATGTCAGAAGACAAAGGGAAGCAGCAACTACATTTTTATTGATAACTAACATGGGCTAGAAGGCAGTGAGCACATTAGCAAATGTAAGCAAGCGAAGGAAAGATGACGCAGAGTGGAGATGGCTGGGAAGCCAACTCGTTATAAGCAAGCATTAATCAACATTTATAGTCAGACTAAAATGAATGACAGACATGTGATAGGTAGGATAAGAAGTGTGCATACACATACGCTCATATAAAAAATAGTCAAGGTCAATAAGGGAATAATTAATATGATCAAAATATGACTCATAACGTTATAGGTGAATTGGCTTGTCCAGAAACTAGAATAAGCTATGTAGGTGTAATATAGTACATGACGTTACACTACTCCCCACAGACGCTAGACTGACTAAATTAAACCTTTTTCCATTTTCATATAGAAGAACCAGAGGTTACTTGATCAGAGTTAAATTACTTGATGATAAATTGGCATTCAATATGCCCCCACTTTTCCTGCCCCCCGAAACAGAGTATTTATGAGGACACTCCAAAAAGCTCAACAGCTCAGAACAAATTACATGTCAGGTGAATATCGATTTTCACATCGAATTATCAAAGGATGGAATTCATTGCCTTGAAGTTACACCATCCACAACCTTAACGCGCGATTGAAGCTTCATCTGTCGAAGCTTTCAAAATAAATTTTAACCAACTGGGAGACAACCACCCAGCCTCCTGTCCTTTCAGAACTGGAACTATAATTGAACCTTGCTGGGTGTTAATTGGCAATATCTTAGATCGTTTAAACTATTCAATATATTTATAAAATACTCTTATTCACTTATGCAATTACCACGAACAGCTTTTTCTTAGAACCACTCAACCTTTTACTTGATAATGAGATTGTTTCTAGTATTCAGAACCCTTGGCAACCTGATACAAATGCATTTACTCTGGTTACAGGATATGCAAACGCACAAATAATTACCAGTGCGGTCGGATTGCTAGACGGTGTAAGACCAAGAACTGTACCGAAACAACAAAATGCGATATCACAGAAATCTATTGGTTCATACAAGCTTGGAATAAAGAATTTTGGGTATTGGACAAAAAATAAAGTCGGCGTAATGTGTAAATCTTCAAGGCCAATTATCTCATTGGTTCTGCTTGAAAATCTGGTTGGCCCCACGAGTGATCCTATTTAGCGTTGCTTCGCTTCATATAATGACTCAAACATTTTGAAATCTTGCCACTCAGGCGTTAGTTGATATGTCATGCTGTGTTAACTATAAACTAAGTTTGGTTTCACTGACATCTTATTATTTAGAAATTCCTACTGGTTCTTGTGCCATTCTGGATCACCTTTAGACGTTATTTTTAGTTGTTCTGTTATATTTTTTGTTCTTTAAATGTCCTCAAATGGTCTACATTACTACATACGTTTTTTTACACTATGAGATAAGTAAAATAGCCCAAACCGACAACCTAAAGTTATAATGTATGTTAACACTGTACACGTAAATCTAAGTTTCCCATGGGTCTCTTCATTATGTTTGCAAGTGCTGATGTATAAGATCCTAATCAAGAACATAATATATGTATGCATACGCCGCCCATTCAAGTTTGGATCTGTCAGTATACTGATTACGTTTAACGCTCTTCAAGAAGATAAGTATGTTAGACTCTACTTGGTGTTTAAACGGATATTCGCGGAAGAACTAATCAATAGTTGACCGGAGTTTAACGATGACCGTTTGTGAATTGTTCTCCAAGTTCTAAACTACCATACCTAACCAATTATTTTATTATAGTTGAATACTCTTGACTCCACAAGTTGCCATTATCAATTGTTAGTTTTATGTTCATGTGGAGTGCAGTTATCCTTCACTCCTTTATGAGTCCCCTTACCCAACTGCCTGTCATCACCTTTCAATCTATTGCATGACTAATACTTAAAGCTCTTGACAGCTCTTACTAATGCAACGTCAAGTTTTTTTTCCACTTGACTTTACTTAGTATGTCTGGTCTTTAGAATGATAAGTATTCATTCACTAGTGGGTTTTTGTGATGCACCTTTTCGGACAGTATTAGTAACTATACTACATGACTATTCTTTAAAATTAAATGCACATGACTATTATCGAAAAACTGCTAAAATTGAGTATTGATGGAACAGTTATTAATTTTATCGAATAGGAAGCTCATTAAAACCAAACGCGTCTTTCAGTAACGTTCTCAGTATTCTTCCGCAACAGGCTTTATAATAGTCTTGGAACTTATCGTTATAAACTTATTCGTGATGAGCATCAGTCAGTCAGCTACAACGTAGGACCAGGCACATGTATGCATCAGTCCAAGCTGTCATACTTCGTTAGCACAACGAGATAGACGCCAATCATGACTTTGTGAACAAGGCATATAATCGACAAAATCTGTTCACGAATATAACAAGCTGATTTTATATTCCCCAACCTACTCTAGATACTTGAATTCCTCATATAGAATTCAAGTCAAATAGGGTGTTTGCTATTATTTATAGACCGGTGATAGTGTTTTTCTGATATTTTACTATTAAATAATTCTATTTCATCCAGTTATGGCTATTTCTGTTCACAGCACTGTCATGTCCAAGGGTTTTATCGACAAACTTCGTATTTTTGTCAGAGCTGGTAGTGGAGCTGCAGGTAGTCCACCAATTAGAGGCCGAGGAGGAAATGGTGGGAGTGTATTTCTGGAAGCCGATGAAAACCAAACACTCCAAAATCTGTTTATGAATAACCCGACGAAACGTTTCGCGGTAGTTTTAATGCAATATTTTCCTGTGGAATTTCATTAAATTTGTTATCAGTTTTTTCTTACTGATTTGTAGGTCGATTGATTGAAAATTGATTTTATTTATTTATCATGTAGCAGTTTATGCATTCTTCTTTAAGCCACATTGTGCGTGCCCGTTAATAGTACTGTCAGGCTCTCAAAGCCCAAAGGTAGGTGGGATAGGGTTCGAAGCTCGTTGTAAGCTGCATACCTTGGTCACTAAAAAACGCTGATATCTACATCCTTATCGATATAGACGTACCAAAACTTGATTTTGTTATTTTTATCTTCTCTTGAAATGTATCTTGCCCTTCCAAGATTTAATTGGCCTCCGTTGTTTAAAATGTATGACGAATGGTTGAGAAGTTCCGAGGCTTTCTGTTCTTGTCTATGCATATCTGTTTGTTACTATTTAGTTGAATCCCTCAACTTTCAACCAATTGGGCTACGGGTATAAACCATAATCTGTATATCGAGGTCCATGCAATCGGCAATTATCATAATCAGTCTTCGTATTATAGGTCTGAATAAAATTTATGTGCGAACCATCCTATTTATTTACGTTGTTTTATTTAATTGTAAAATTAAGTGCAATTAAGACAGGAATTCATATGTATTACTTTCGATGCGATCAATTAGCTACTTTTTATTCACTGATTGAAGTATGGCAGCATTTATTATTCGGTGTATAATTCTTCTGAACATAACGAACTAATGATTTGGGCTAAAATTATGGTGCGATTCATGTATTTAGATTCATCAGTTGCATATATTTTGTCATTGTTGTAATTCATCTATAAACACAATGCGTTAACAAAAGTGGCAAATTCTGGAGAGGATTAAACCATACCAGAAAGGTTGAAAGCAAAACTAAGATAAATGTTAGAAAGTGATAATGGGATTTCGTTGTGAACAGTACAGGGGATTGACAATTTGCGGTTGCCTACTTCATAGAAAAACTCCCTAAGTGGTCCGAGACAGAAACTGACTTGCCAACTCAAAAGCGTGACCTCAGAGTTCATGAAACAGTTGCATGAGACGGGGTCCATATTTTCCAAATCTTATGACATCAGAAACTGTTAGTGAAAAGTAAAGTATGTGTATTTTATTTTTTCGTCATCTATTTCACACAAACTAATATCAGATCATAACTTCTGGCAACATATTTAAAAATACTGACAATGGATCGTTTGAACTTGTTAAAGCGTTGTTCAACATTTTTGAACTCTTGACCTATAACATCTCAATCCACCCACTTTTGTTAAGTTTGCTCTTAATTAGTATAAGACTTCTAACCACTCACCTATTTGTACATTTTTAGGCTGGACATGGAACAGAGGCGAGTAAACGTCGTGGTTTAGTTGTTGGTCTAGATGGTCAAGACTTGACTATTCGTGTTCCTGCTGGAATAACTGTATTGTTTGGAGGTCAAGGGACATCATCAGCTAACGGGTCAGAACAACGAATACTTGGAAATTTGGATAAAGTCGGTCAGAAGTTACTTGTAGCACAAGGTGGTCTGGGTGGTTTTCACCAAAATGGGTATATTGGCTCACCGGGTCAGGCTCACAGTATCGTCTTAGATTTAAAGGTGACAATTTTTTTTTCTTTTGATAAGAATCAATTCAACCACTCATTAAATATTATCCCACCCTTCGATAATCAACATAAACTCAAATTATTCCAGATCATAGATTAAATTGTCAGCGATAACTAAAATCCAATTATTCTTACTGAAGACGATCTTTTTGTTATGAAACCAGGGCAGAATACACAGTTGGAGCTCACTGAATTCATGGTCGATTTTGAGTTTAAAAATAAGTTTGAAACAACTGTTTACTCCTGTTAAGTGAAAAATAGCTTTTATCCATATTATTTTAATCAGAAATGAAACATTAGAAAGATTCAAATAATATTCAGGCAAAAATCATGTTCTTTACCTTTAATCAGTCAGTCAGCTACAACGTAGGACCAGGCACATATATGCATCGGTGCAAGTTGCCATAACCTCATTGGCGCAATGAGATGAACACCAGATTCATAGAAGCAGTTAATTTAGTGGTGGTAATATATAAAAGATAGGTTGTATATAAGGAAAGAAAGATATGAAGCAATTTTAATCTCAAGGTTTAAGGGAAGATAAAGAGTGTATACACCTGCTCCATTGTGATCGATTCTAAGCCATGCCACACGGAGTCTCCAACCATTGTTTACGATAGTCGCGCAGACCTCAACCAAGTAGTCTGCATCTACCAACATGGCTCAGACTAAAAGTTAGTGACTTCAAGGACTGATGCCCTGTTTTGGTTTGGTCGCCCCTAACTCACCTTTAATATTGATCTATTCATTCGGATTATAGTACTCTTATCAATATTTGATTTTGTTAACTAAATTTCAATGATATAGTTGAAGTTATTTACTTTACTTCAAACAGGATATTATGATAATATTTATGAATTAGTTCTTTTTTCAATATAGCTTATGGCTGATTACAGTTTGATTGGATTTCCTAATGCTGGCAAATCTAGTTTATTAAAAGCTTTATCTGGTGCACCTGCGAAAATTGCGAATTATCCTTTTACTACAATTAAACCACAAGTTGCCAAATGTACATATTCAGATCATCGTGAGATAAGCATAGCAGATTTACCAGGTAAATATTCGATTTTATAAACAAGCAAACAAATTCAATTCAAATTGTTTCTGAATTCAATATTTTTACTAGTTCAGTATAAGTTCTGATATACAAACCTGTCGACTTACACAATACTTTATGTGCTCATGTTTATATACCCTATAAACAGATTGTATATTTACTTAAAATATATAAAATGTAGGTAGAAGTGGAATCCATGACGCGTGTTTTGTCGTATCTGAGACTTGTCATCTGGATGTACCTTCATTCCAGAGTTGATGTTCACTCTGGGACTCGAACCCACTAGTATTCGCTCTAAACACAGTCGCGTTATCCACTTAGCTACTGAGTTCAGATAGTCGCTCAAATCTCAGTCTATATATTAATATCAGGATAATCCAAACTATTGAAAACTAAAGTGAAATTTATACACATTGTACAAGTAAGTGGCTATCTGGATCACACGCTGCCATTTAAAGCGAACGCTAGTGGGTTTACGTCTCAAGGTAAATTTCAACTCTTAGGAGAAGCTTGTACATCCACACAGAATGCAACGTGCTTCCTGATTTGCACTTCTGACTAGGTTTCTAGACGGGATTAGTTACAGGTTGACCTCGGTTGGGGTACCATGGGAAACCAGGGAACGCTAGACATATGTTTCACCCTAGTGTGAGACTTATCAGCAGCATGAATTCACTAAGGTTTCAAATGTTTACAGTTGGTTTTCAACACAGTTTTCTAATAGTTAAATGCTTGTCATGAAACCTGGATGTCTTCTGTCCAGTAGTGGATGCACACTTCATAGGAGTTTCTTACTAAAAGAAAACATCGCTCTAGTTCATCATGGTTATCAATAGTTTATTTATTTAAACACATAAATATTGGTACAAAGGGGCACCAGATAAGAATGCGCCACACCAATCTCATTTGATTTGTGTGATGGCTGTGATACTGCCCGGGTGCCCAAACTGAAACAGGTGGTTTTCCTAGGGGGCCTTTGACCTAAAGGTCTGATCCACAAGGCAGTAGAGCATCGTAAGGAGATGCAGTGCCATCGTAGTCAGTGACTAACGATTGGTTCATACACCATTTGTTCCCTCAGGATACTGGAGTCCATGTGCAACATTGGTTTGGAATGAGGGTTTTCTAACTTCCCTAGGTGGACTTTCCATGTCCACTGAGTTGGACTTCCCTGGTGGAGGCTATATACGCATGACCATATGAGAACATTTCGAGAGGGAGAGTTGACTCTCCCCACCCTCGGCCGTACCAGGGCCCTAATTATTTAATATTTGCTCGAGTGTAATTTTTATCCTAAATTATAACTTCATTAAAAAACTTGATGTGATAACTTACAACTGGTATGCTATTGCCTATGATGATAATATCTGAACCCCTTTGAATTAATATTCCATCATAATTTTCATTATATTATGCATAATCAGTTTGTTATTATTGATCTTCTTTGTTTACCCTACTTGTTCTAGGTCTTGCTGATATTTATGCTCATTATAATGCACAAATAAATCAAGATAGCAATGATCAATCTGATTCAAATACATCTTTACCAAGTTTAAGACATACGAGATTTTTAAAACATGTTGAACGTAGTTCATGTATACTTCTTGTATTAGATTCACTTGGATTTTGTAAAGATCAATTAAGTCCTAAACGTAATGCATTAGCTGTTGTTTATTTAATTTTAAATCAAATGGAACGATGGTCTAATGGTTTATTACTTGAAAAACCAATGGCTTGTATTTTGAATAAAGTAAGTTTAATTAATTCGACAATTGTAAATGTCTTTATATTATACAGGTTTCATTTAGCTATGCATACATTGTCGTCTTCAAAACGAAGCTGTCCGACATATATTCTTCCGTATTCAAGATTCATTACTTACATAAATGTTACCACAAGATATACCCATCATTAGAATGACTAGAAGGATTTACGATCAAACTAATGAATTATGATGAACCATTTTTTGTCACACAACGGTGGCGGTGTCTTAGCTGTCGAGAAGTGCAAAGTTTTAAACGTATACTTATTCGGTTAAATAGAGAACTTATCTTGTGATTGTTGTGTTAAACAGTTTTATTCCAAATAATAAATACTTATTTGTCATCACCTTACAGTTATTATTGTCATCAACCAAGTGTATGATCATTACGTTACATGCTTACATTCCTAGATTGATACTACCGGTGCAATGGATGAAGCTTTAGAAACAAAATATTGGCTTGAACGTATGGATTCATCTGAAGCAAAACAATATTCACAACTTCCTCCAAAGTTGTTACCTAGTCTTACACCCAAATTTGAATCGATCGAATTGGTCTCTGCCTTGCGTCACACAAATATTCCAGGTAAGTTGTAATCTCATTGATTAGTTGGATTACAGAATATGATTATTACTATTTGCTGTAACTTTATGTGAAGCAACTAAGTCGTTACTGATCGTTTTGTACTTCAAAATCCTTTGTTGTATATAGTTAGCAGCATCAAAACTAGAATTATGGTCAGTGATGCCGTATTTTTATTTATTTAAACACAAATATTGGTACAAAAGGACGCCGAATACATATGCGCCTCACAAATCTCATTTGATTTGTGTGAGCACTGTGATACTGCCCGGGTGCCCAAACTGAAACAGGTGGTTTTCTTAGGGGGCCACAACCGGAGTCTTTGACCTAAAGGTCTAATCCACAAGGCAGTGGAGTATCGTAAGGAGATGCAGTGCCATCGTAGTCAGTGACCAACGATTGATTCATACGCCATTCGTTCCTTCAGGATACTGGAGCCCATGTGCAACATTGGTTTGGAATCAGGGTTTTTCGACTCCCCTAGGTGGACTTTTCGTGTCCACTGAGTTGGTTAAAGCGCCTGACATTCGCTTTTCGTCCTCTCAATTTGGTAAACAACAGTAATGCCACGAGAGGGCAGTGAGTAGGACTTCCCTGGCAGAAGCTATATATTCGCGTAGCCATATGAAAGCATTTCGAGAGGGAGAGCGAACTCTCCCCACTCTCGTCCGTACCAGGGCATTTGGGGACCTTGTTCTATGACCGAACTGAATCCTGGGATTTGAAGAAGATGCGTTCTGGTCTTTTGGGCGTTTACATGATTTTGTGATTGTTCAAAGTTAACGTGTGTTAGTCGAACGTGTCACTGTTCAAAGCTTAAGATGTTGGCATGTAGATGAAAAAGTATACTTACTATAGATAATTGTAAACCGCAATCTCATTCGTAAATCTTATCAAGGGATCAAGGAATGTACAGAATGACTAAAGGAACATAAGAAATACATGATTACAAAAGTCTATCCTAGTTTATATATCCATTTGGTGCGTTCTAAAGATCTACAGTACGGTATTTCGTGTGAAACTTTTGAGGACAATATGCCAAACTTTATGTGTACATTTTCAACTATTCATCTTGTAAACTTTGTTTCATAAGTCAAGGAAAGTAGAAAACCTGTTTCTTGTTAGAAGCCGTGACCAGTAAAGTTCAGTCGTGTCGGATTTAAGGCAGTTATCTACCAATGGCATTGGATTGATGGTCGTGGAATATCACGACCTCACTGTAGCTAGAAAAGTAAACTGTTGGATACTAAACTAGTTGTCTAAAGGTTAAACGCTCACCGCGAGACCTAAAGATCCTCGACTCATTCCCTGGTAAGCTTGTGAATGTGCACTGCTAAAGATTTTCAAACTAGAAAGAAAACGTTATCCATTGCTTCCAGGTGTTCAGTCACTGCATAACATAGATCGCTTCACCGTTTTAATAACTTTCTTAATAAATCGCCTATGTTGTTGTCATTTTTTTTCTCTTAGAATTGAAAGAGTCATTGCGCAACTGGCTTGATCAAATTGAATTAAGAAAACGGAAAGATAGCACAGCCGTACAAATAAAATCACAACAAATGAAGGAAAAAAGATTGTTAAATGATATCCAACCAACCTACTATTAAGGTCTCTTTCGATTCATTTCTTTAATTTCTTCAGTTTCATATCTGTACTACTTTCGTTGCTTGTGCATGCTCTTGATCAATTGTGTATATAAATAAACTTTTGTATTTCAAAATTTTTTTTTTATATAAAACAGAGGGATAATTTTATATCCCTTTATAGATATTACATTTCCGGTTGTGTTTGCTTGTCCTGTATATACAAAGAGATTATACGTAAAGCTTTTTAAAATCCCGGCTTTTACTGACTTGAGAAATAATTTCCATTTCGCTATAGAGTGAAAACCCCGTCCTCAATTGGAAACTAGTTTGCTGCAGTAGGATTCTGAGGCGTATAACTTGATGGTTCCTCGTTGTTGACGAGTTCGAAGTTATAATAAAATGACTGTCAGAGGACTTGCATCTTGAGTCGGTTCGTTGTATTCAGATAGCTAACTGAAAGAGGTCTTCGTATTGGACATGTAAAAACCAACATGGGATAAAAAGGAGTTATATACCAAGAATAAATCATATTGTAATTCACCTTGTGGCATTTATCAAATATGGAAGCTTTAATTGCTTATTAGACGAGGTGTGCTGATTATCCGAAGCCCGGTTACGTACATGTTTCACCTGGCAAGTGTATGGTTTTAAGATCTTTTTGATCCTACTAACAAAATAGTCGTCCATTTAACTCTGAATTCTTCAGGATGATGATGTCATGTTTAAGCACTTCTGGTCGAGAAAGTTGTTTACATTTTGAGCTTATGCTTCAATTTTTAATATCAGGAGGTAAAGCCATTGCTTAGTATTAGGTGGTGGTATGTTCATCAACGCGAAAATATGATGGATACTGTTAGGCTTGGCTGTGGAGACGTAGTCATTGTAAATATCTCTTTATATAAAGTATATTATATCACCAACCTGAACGTTATCATAGAAAGGTCTTTATAAGCAAGACATCTGACTGCCACATTACGCCGATAATGTGGCTTCGATGTGTGATCAGATAGACTAAACAGTTATATCATGACAAGTCAACTACATTATACTCTAGCTATACGTTTGGTACATAGATGAGTGTATTGGTATCGAACCACTGGATATCAGAGGCTTTCATATTAAATGGCTATGTTCTTGACCAATTAGTTTTATTACCCTGGGGGATATAATTCACGTTTCTTGTTTATCAAAAACGTGTATTGCTGTTCGAAGTCCCTATAGTTTAAATTTTTAATGAACCTAATCGGAATATCTACTGTTGACGTTACTTAATTGACAGGATCACTAATATCCCTGGACATGCAAATAATTTGAACCCTTTGCCAGTTTATTTACTTGGTGCGTATTGGATTTGAGTTCGCCCTCTATTCCAGAACTACTCGAACTATTTACACAACAGCTCTCGTTCGTTCGCTAGTAGCATGTCAATTCTTAAGGACTGGTGAAGATTATTATTTCGGGTCTGAGGAAAAATAATTTGGACACTAACCATTTAACACTATTGTTGTAACGTTGTTCGTAGGTGTTTTATCCGTTTCTTTCGTCCTTCTGGATGAGTATATTTTGATTCGCGTTATACTTTATTCCCCAATAAACTAATATCGCTATGATCGGGGGGATTCAGGTAATCTTATACTACTACCCATTGGCGACCACACCAATCGTTTGAAGTTCAGACTTGATAGTTGCCGTCTTTTATGCTTCTGATGTGAACCGCAAAACAAGAAGCCTGAACAAATTACGGAAGCTATTTTCGGGGACGTTAATTCATTTAATTCAAAGCTTGTAAAACTGTAACATTTACTTTTGCCCCTAGCCTATTCTACAGATCATAAGCTTTCGTTTGATGTATAATTCATTGCCATAGCATTTTCTGTCCTAAAGCTATTGTCATTTAAACGTAATCTTTTGTACCCTATTTTCTACTATAATTCCCCAGTTTTGGACATAATTGTATTTTTCTAATTATTGTACGTTGTGGTCAGCTTAGTCACCTATTTATTCATGTAACTTTTCACCCTAATCTGAATTGGGAATTCGAGTGCTAGATCGGGGTTGGAATAAAGTGATTAGTGTTCCAGCTGTCTTTGTCTTCTCTCTCTCGTGCTTGCCAGCCAATCAGGGATAGAATAGTTTTCGTCTCTCTACCCCTATTTCGAACTCACGCATATTAGCCTCAAGGTTAAGGCAGTCAACCTATCGTGTCAAGGTCTTAATCTACATTATACTCGGCACTAAGTGAGTAGACAGATTCAAGGACGTAACAGCTTCAGGAATGTTGTGCATAATTTTATTCCAAATTGATATCTGAAACTAGTAGAAAATATTTTACAGACAATTTAGTTTGTATGAGAAACACTAAAATCATTTTCTCAAATTCATTATCAGTGAATAATTTTTGTGTCAGCATTTATAAACATAATCCCCATTTGCAGCAGCTGCGGTTTTCTTTTTGTGTCTCATCTCCAAAAATTGGGTATGTATATTTTCCTTTCTATTTTGGGACTTCCTGAAAACTTATCGGCTTCCAAAGCATAAAGTGACTGAGATGCTAACGGTAGTTTTGTCTTGAAGTACTGCAGAATAGGCTTCACAGATAACACCTTCCCCTGTGACAAGAAACACGTTTCGGATCGGATTGTAGTTTTCTATGACGATTAATTCGATGAACTTTTGATTTAAATCTTGTTTCAGGAATCTCTATATACTACATAGTCTTCTGTTCCCTCAAACCATGAGTTCAATGACAATATTGCTGACATACAGATGACGCAATATTGACTGCATATTGCCATGTGTTACGTCTAAATTTTTTTCTGATCTGTTTTTGAGGTGCAGTCAGTTGATATGAAAGCAAACTAAAGAGGAGAAATAGTGGCAGGTATTGAGGAAAGTTCATAGTGAAAACACGATGTGAATACAGGGAACAGTGCATAAATATATATTTTTTCCTCAGCCTGGGGTAAATAGTGCATATTTTTCCCAAAATTTACTCTGTGAAAGGACATTTCTGGAAGTTAACACATTCACCTCCACCAAAGTTTCACGAGAGTAAACACTCGACCCAAATTCCAGTTCACATACAAAACATTCGTAAATTACGAGTAATCAAACCACATATATTGTATTCCAGACTAAACAGGCTAGGTGAGAAGTCATTACACAGAGGACCAATGAAGATTCTGAGTTGACTCAAGGCTGCTAGGGCGGGTTTACTTCTAATTCGTTCGGCACATCGACACTGTTAAATAATTCAGTATTCTAACTTGCTTACTTAGTTAAGCCTGGTACCCATCATGGAGGAGCATAGGCCGCTCAAAAATATTCTCAATCAAGCTCTCTCCTGGACTATTCTTTCCACTCGCTATTCATACTTGTCATGTCTGATTCCGGTTCATCAACCCATAATATTGCTGATCGTACCGACGTTTACTCGCAGTAGAAATAACTACAAACATTAATTCCATTAAACATTCGTGGCAGACACTAATATATTCCGAGGGGATTGGAGGAGAATTTCGCATCGATTAGCCAGCGATTCTTTTATTTATGCTTTTCAAATATCTGTATTAGAACAGACTTGCCACTTGAGGATCGGATCAAGTGGAAGAATGAACTTGCAGAATTTAAAACTCGACAACTAAATGGCGAAACGAACCTTATGATTAAGGATTTTCGGGTAGTCAGGTCTTGGAAGCCAATACTTCCAAGATTTGTATGGGTAGAATGTATGATTCCCAATACTCCTTAAATGTGTGCTACACGAATGCCCATGGTTTTCGAAATAAAATATCCGAGCTAAGTCTGGTGGTGTATGAATTATATCCCGATATAATTTTTGTTACAGAAACTAAGCTCACTGTGGATATAGACTGTTCTCCCATCATTTCAGGCTACATCTGTATCAGAAGTGATAGAGTTATAGGTCGCAAGGGAGGAGGTATAATGATATATGTTAGGGACCACTTTCGCATACAATCGGTCATATCGGAGGTGCATGCTAGTGGTACGTGTGGAATAGTATGTTGTACAATTAGGTCTAGAAACGGGTTGGTGACTGTGGGAGGAATATATCGTAGTCCATGTTGCCTTGCTGACGTTCGTTCTTGGAGTAAGGCAGAATGTTGTCTCATCGCTGGGGACTTCAATACACCCCATATCAACTGGATAGTGCTCACAGGACCAGATGGGGGTTTCGATAGCGACCTTCTATCAACAATTATTCAGTGTGCACTTGTACAATGTATCGTAAAACCGACATATATTGACTTAGGACATAATCCGTCATTGCTAGACCTTGTCCCCACACACCACTGTGAAGATGTCGTCGACATTCAACACCTTCCTCCACTAGTGAATAGTGACCACCTTGTACTTTACTTTAATTTCCAGACACATGGTATAGAATTTACATCTGTTCCACCCCGTCCTAATATCTGGAGAGCTAATATTCCGACAATCAGAGACTGCTATTTCGATTGACTGGTCGGTCGATGCTGATGGATCGATCTAAAACGAATGGAATAGGTTTAAGGCTATGTTCGAATCCGTAACTCAACCGTTTATCCCATGGTCAACACGTAAGCTATCACATTGCCCTCCATGGATTATTAAGGAAACACGGAAATTGTTAAAGCGTAGGAAGAACTTTTGAGACTTATTCTTGTCAACAGGACAGGCATCATTTAAGTGCGAATATAAAAAAAATCCGAAATATGTGTAAAAAGATCATAGCTAAATTCCGTACCACTTACGAACGACAGTTGGCATACAATAGACGTACCTGTCCGAAGCGAATGTTTTCGTGCGTTAAAAAGCGGACAAAACGTAATGATGGTATTCCCGCGTTACTGTTACACGAAAATTCAGATTTACTAGCTGAATCAGATCTGGCAAGAGTTGAGACTTTTTCAAACTATTTTAGTGAAGTCTACTCTACGTTTAGTGTTACAACTAATTATCTCAATCACACAGATATACCAGCCATAGAATCTGTGCATGTGACTGAGGAAACTGTTCTT